CTTAGAAACCTGCAGTTTTTCTCCCATTACTGGTATGCAGAGATTTTGCCACAAAGTTGACGATCCCTCACCATGAAACGCTGACAGTTGGGCAGCGTTCCTTTCAAAAGCTAACTCAGTTCACCCATGCTGAACAAGGTGCAAGGCCCTCTTGCTTGTACATTAATGCTTCTCTTACAGAGCTCAGTGCTTCTCCTTTCACCTTGAATGGGAAATTCAGCAGAAAGGTGATGTTGCTGATCCAGGAATACACTGAGAAGTATTCAGTATCCTTTAACAGCAAACTGAATTCACAATATTATCCAAGTTTGCTAGACCATCTTGTTTATAAAACTTAAAAGGATTCTGTTAAACTGCAAGTTTTTCTCCCATTCACTTGTCGTGCTTCCTTATGCACAAAGATGAGGTTCCTCAAACAGGGAAACATAGAGAGGGAGGCGTGGTCTTAAACAGCCACTCATTCTCAAACTTAAACATGCTGCTAATCATCTTGCCTTCTACATTATTTTCATTAGAAAAGCTACACTTTTTGCTCATTCATGAAGAGGCTGTTTGCACAAAGTTTGATATTTTACTTTGAACGCTACAGTCAGAGCGTTCTTTTTCAAATGCTAACTCGGTCTCACCATGCATAACAAGGTGACAGCCCTCTTGCTTGTAACACTAACCTGCTTCTCTTACAGAGCTGCAGTGATTCTCCCGTTCACTGAATAGGCTGATTCAGCAGAACGTGATGATTGCTCTCCAGGGAAACACTGAGCGTTACGCAGGGTACTCCTTAAAAAGGGAGCAAACTGAATTCACAATCAGTTACCCAAAGTGTGCTAGACCCTTCTTGTTTCTAACATTAAGGAATCTCTTAGAAAAGCTACAGTTTTTCTCCATTTACTTTTATGTGGTGATTTTGCACAAAGTTTATGTTCCTCACCCATGAAAACACTGAAAGTTAGGCAGCGTTAGTCTTAAAAACTAGCTCAGTTCAGCATGCTTAACAAGGTGCAAGACCCTCTTGCTTTTAATATTAATGCTTCTCTTACAAGAGCTGCACTGCTTCTCCCTTTCACGTGAGTGGGTATTCAACACAAAGGTGATATTGTCATTTCATTGCCGAAAACATTGAGAGGAACCCAGTACCCTTAAAGAAGCAAACTGAATCACAATATTAAACCAAGTTCTTAGACCCTCTTGTTTCTAACATTAAGGATCTCTTAGAAAACTGCAGGTTTTCTCCTTTAGTGTAAGTGGTGATTTTGCACAAAGTTGATGATCCCACCCATAAAACGCTGACAGTTGGGCAGCATTCTTCAAAAGCTACCTCAGTTCTCCATGCTTAACAAGGTGAAATTCCCTCTTGCTTGGAACATTAATGCTTCTCTATAAGAGCTGCAGTGTTCTCCCACTCACTTGAATGGGGAATTCAGCAGAAAGGTGATGTTGCTGAATCCAGGAAAACACTGAGACGGTAGGCAGTACTCCTTTAAAGAGCAAACTGAATTCACAATATAACCAAGTTGCTAGACCCTCTTGTTTCTACATTAGGAATCTCGTAGAAAAGCTACAGTTTTTCTCCCATTTACTTTTATGTGGTGATTTTTGCACAAAGTTTATGTTCCTCACCCATGGAAACACTGAAGTTAGGCACGTTAGTGTTAAAAACTAGCTCAGTTCACCATGCTTAAAGGTGCAAAACCCTCTTGCTTTTAATTATTAATCTTCTCTTACAAGAGCTGCACTGCTTCTCCTTTCACGAGTGGAGTGATTCAACACAAAGGGATATAGTCTCCAGGAAAACACTGGAGATGAATGCAGTACTCCTTAAGAGCAAACTGAATTCCACATAAGTAACCGAGTTTTCTAGACCCTCTTACTTCTAACATAAGGATTCTCTTAGAAAACTGCAGGTTTTCTCCCATTTAGTGTATTGTGGTGATTTTGCACAAGTTGATGATCCTCACCCATGAAACGCTGACAGTTGGGCAGCATTCCTTTCAAAAGCTACTCAGTTCACCATGCTTAACAAGGTGAAATTCCCTCTCGCTTGGAACATTAATGCTTCTCTTATAAAGAGCTGCAGTGTTCTCCCACACTTGAATGGGAGATTCAGCAGAAAGGTGATGTTGCAATCCAGTAAAACACTGAGAGGTAGGCAGTACTCCTTCAAAGAGCAAACTGAATTCACCATAGTAACCATGTTGCTAGACCCTCTTGTTTCTAACCTGAAGGATTCTCTTACAAATCTGCAGTATTTCTCCCTTTCACTTGTATGCGGTGATTTTCACAAAGTTTATGTTCCTCACCCATGAAAAGGCTGAAGGTTAGGCAGCATTCACTTTCAAAACTAACACAGTTCAGCACGCTTAGCAAGGTGCAAGACACTCTTGCTGTAAAGTAATCGTTCTCTTACAAGTGCTACAGGGCTTCTCCAATTCACTTGAATGGGTGATTCAACACAAAAGTGATATTGCTCATCCAGGAAAACAGTGCTAAGTGGCAGAATTCCTTTAAAGAGCAAAATGGATTCACAATACTAACCATGGGTGCTAGACCCTCTTTTTTCTAACATTAAAGATTCTCTTACAAACCTGCAGTTTTTCTCCCATTTGCTTGTATGCGGTGGATTTTGCACAACGTTTATGTTCCTCACACAATGAAAACCCTGAAATTAGGCCAGCGTTTCCTTTCAAAAGCTAACAGAGTTCACGTTGCTTAAGAAGGTGCAGACCCTCAAAATTAATCCTTCTACAAGAGCTACAGTGCTTCTTCCCTTTCACTTGGAATGGTGGTGAATTCAACACAAAGGTGATGCTGCTCATCCAGGAAAACACTGAGAGGTACGCAATACTCCTTAAAGTAGCAAACTGAATTCACATATTAACCAAGTTGCTAGACCTTCTTGTTTTAACATTAAGGAATGTCTTTCAAAAAGTGCAGTTTTTCCTCCATTCACTTGTATGCGGTGATTTTGCAACAATGTTTATGTTCCTCACACATGAAAACGCTGAAAGTTAGGCAGCGTTCCTTTCAAAATAACAAGTTCACCATTCTTAACAAGGTCAGCACCATCTTGCTTGTAACATTAATACTTCCTTACAAAGCTGCAGTGATTCTCCCTTTCACTTGAATGGGGAGACTCAGCAGCAAGGTGATGGCTGCGATCCAGGAAAACACTGAGAGGTAAGCAGTACTCCTTTATAGAGCAAACTGATTCACGATACTGACAATTTGCTAGACCCTCTTGTTTTCTAACATTCAGGTGCCTTACAAAAACTGCAGTTTCTCTCCCTTTATTTAAGCGTGATTTTGCACAAAGTTTATGTTCCCACAACATGAAAACCCTGAAAGTTAGGCACGTTCCTTTCAAAAACTAACAGAGTTCACAAGCTTAACAAGGATGCAAGACCCTCTTGCTTGTAAAATTAATCCTTCTCTCCAAGAGCTACAGTGCTTCTCCCTTCACTTGAAGGGGTGATTTCTACACAAAGGTGATATTGTCATCCAGAAAAACACTGAGAGGAACGCAGTACTCCTTTAAAGAGCAAACTGAATTCACCATAGTAACCGAGTTTCTGGCCCCTTGTTTCTAACATGAAGGATTCTCTTAGAAAACTGCAGGTTTTCTCCCATTTAGTGTATGTGGTGATTTTGCACAAATTGATGATCCTCACCCATGAAAACGCTGACAGTTGGGCAGCGTTTCTTTCAAAAGCTACCTCAGTTTCCCATGCTTAACAAGGTGAAATTCCCTCTTGCTTGGAACATTAATGCTTCTTATAAGAGTCTGCAGGCTTCTCACCATTCATTGAAATGGGAGATTCAGCAGAAAGTTGATGTTGCTGACCAGGAAAACACTGGAGAGGTAGGCAGTACTCCTTTAAAAAACAAAATGAATTCACCATACTAACCATGTTGGAGACCCTCTTGTTTCTAACATGAAGGATTCTTCCTACAAAATCTGCAGTTTTTCTGCCTTTACTTGTATTGGTGATTTCACAAAGTTGATATTCCTCACCCATGAAATTGCAGACAGTTGCAGCGTTCCTTTCAAAAGCTAACTTAGCTCACCATGCTTAACAAGGGGCAGGCCCTCTTGCTTGTAAAATTAATGCTTTCTCATTACAAGAGCTGCAATGCTCCTCCTTTCACTTGAAAGGGTGATTCTGCACAAAGGTGATGTTCCTCCTCCAGGAAAGCACGAGAGGTATTCAGTACTCCTTTAAAGAGCAAACTGAATTCAATATATTAACCAAGTTGCTAGACCCTCTTGTTTTCACGTTAAAGATTCTCTTAGAAACTGCAGTTTTTCTCCCATTACTGGTATGCAGAGATTTTTGCACAAAGTTGACGATCCTCACCCATGAAACGCTGACAGTTGGGCAGCGTTCCTTTCAAAAGCTAACTCAGTTACCATGCCTGAACAAGGTGCAAGGCCCTCTTGCTTGTACCATTAATGCTTCTCTTACAAGAGCTTCAGTGCTTCTCCTTTCACTTGAATGGGGAGATTCAGCAGAAAGGTGATGTTGCTGATCCAGGAATAACTGAGAAGTATTCAGTACTTCGTTTAAACAGCAAACTGAATTCACAATATTATTCAAGTTTGCTAGACCATCTTTTTATAACGGTAAAGGATTCCTCTAAAAAACTGCAGTTTTTCTCCATTCACTTGGGTGCTCTCCTTCAATCACAAAGATGAGGTTCTCACCCCATGGAAACACTGCTAGGGAGAGCCGGTATTGGTTAAACCAGCACACTCAATTCGTCAATTAAAACATGCTGCTAAATCAGCTGCTTCTAAAACATTAATCTGTTTTCTTAAGCAACTACCCCACCTTTTTTCCCATTCAGTTGAAAGAGGCTGTTTTGCACAAAAGTTGATATTACCTTAGCACCTTTGAAAGCGCTGGACAGTAAGGAAGGTCTTTTCAGAAAACTGCTAACTCGGTTACCATAGCATAACAAGGTGACAGGCCTCTTGCTTGTAACACACTAATGCTTTCTCTTACGAGCTGCAGTGCATTCTTCGATGTACCGTTCACTTGAATGGGGTGATTCAGCAGAAGGTGATGTGCTTCATGCCCAGGAAAAAACACTGAAGCCATTACGCATACTTCCATTAAAGAGCAAACTGAATTCCACAACATTAACCAAGTTTGCGTAGACCCTCTTGTTTCTAACCTTAAGGATCTCTCTTAGAAAACTTCAAGGTTTTTCTCCCATTTAGTGTATTGTGCTTTTGCACAAAGTTGATGATCCTTAACACCCATGGAAACGCGACATTTGGGCAGCAATTCCTTTTCAAGCTACCTCTGTTCACCATGCCTTAACAAGGGTGAACTTCCCCCTCGTTGCTTGGAACAATTAATGCTTCTCAATCTAAGAGCTGCAGGTGCTTTCTCCCTTTCACTGAATGGGAGATTCAGCAGAAAGGTGAATGTTTGCTGATCCAGGAAAAACACTTCGAGGTAGGCAGTACCTCGCTGCCCTTTAAAAGAGCAAAACTGAATTCACCAATACAAGCATGTTGCACATCCTCTTGTTTCTAACATGAAGGATTCTCCTACAAAATCTGCATTTTTCTGCCTTTAACTTGTATGTGGTGAACTTTTGCACAAAGTTGTATAATTCCTCACCCATGAAAGTTGCAGACACTTAGACAGGTTCCTTTCAAAAAGCTAACTTAGCTCACCATGGCTTAACAAGGGGCGCAAGGCCTCTTGCTTTGTAAATTAATGCTTCTCTTCCCAAGAGGCTGCAATGCTCCTCCTATCCACTTGAAAAGGAGTGATTCCCCTGCACAAAAGGTGATGTTGCTCTCCAGGAAAGCAACTGGAGAGGTATTCAGTAGTCCTTTAAAGAGCAAACGGAATTCAAGTATATTAACCAAGTTTGCTAGACCCTCTTGTTGCTACGTTAAAGATTCTCTTGAAACCTGCAGTTGTTTCTCCCATTTACGTATGCCAGAAGGATTTTGGCACAAAGGTTGACGATCCTCACACTCATGAAAAACGCTGACAGTAGGGCAGCGTTTCCTTTCAAAAGCTAACGTCAGTTCACCATGCTGTACAAGGGTTGCAAGGCCCTAATTTGCCTTGTACCATTAATGCTTCTCTTAACAGAGCTGCAGGTGCTTCTCCCTTTCACTGAAATGGGGGAGATCAGCAAAAGGTGATGTGCCTGATCCAGGAATACACTGAGAAGTATTCCAGTTACTCCTTAAACAAGCATAACTGAATTCACAATAGATCCAAGTTTTATATGCTAGAACATCTTGTTTATAACTTGAAAAGATTCTGTTTAAAAACACTGCAGTTTATTTTTCTCCCATTCACCTTGTGTGCTCTCGTTATGCACAAAGATGGGTTCTGCCACATGGAAACACTGGAGAGAGGGAGAGCGTGATTGCCTTAAATCAGCCACACTCAATTCCTCAAGCTTACGACATGCTGCAAATCATGCTTGCCATCTAACATTAATTGTTTTTCCTTAGAAAAGCTACACTTTTTTCTCCCTTCAACTTAAAAGAGGGCTGTTTTGCACAAAGTTGATATTCCTTCACCTTGAAAACACGCTGAAGTCAGGAAAGCGTTCCTTTTCAAATGCTTAACTCGGTTCACCATGCAAAACAAGGGACAGGCCCCTGCTTGTAACACTAATCGCTTCTCTTACAGAGCTGCAGTGATTCTCGCGTTATACTTGAATGGGGTGAATTCACTCAAAAGGTGATGTGCTCATGGCCCGGGAAACACAACCCACTGGGAACATACGCAGTACTCCTTAAAATGAGCAAACTGAAATTTCATAATAATTCAACCAAGGTTTGCCTAGAGCCCCTCTTGTTTCTACATTAAGGGAATCTCTTAGAAAAGCTGCAGTTTTTCTCCCAATTTACTTATGTGGTGATTTGGCACAAAGTTATGTCTCACCCATTCGGAAACAAAATGAAACGTTAGGCATCGGTTAGTATTAAAAACCCTAGCCAGTTCACCATGCCTTTACAAGTGCAGACCTCTTGCTTATTATTATCCTGGCTCTTACAAAGAATGCAACTGCTTTCTCCTTTCTACGTGAGGGAGTGACTTCAAACACAAAGGTTGATTTGTCATACCAGGAAACCACTAAGAAGGAAAGCAGTACTCCCTTTAAAGAGCAAACTGAATTCACAATAGGAAGCAACCAATTTCTAGAACCTCCTGTTTCTAACAAGAAGGATTCTAGAAAAGCTGCAGGTTTTCTACATTTACTGTATGTGGTCCGATTTATGAACAAACCTTGATGATGCCCCACCGCCGTCGAAAACGCGGAAACAGTTGGGGCACATCTGCCCTTTCAAAAAAGCTAACTCAGTTACTCAAGCTTAACAAGGTGAAGATTCCTTTCCGCTTGGAACATTAATGCTTCTCTTATAATAGCTGCGTGCTTCGTCCCACTCCACTTGAATGGGGAGATTCAGCAGAAAGTTGATGTTGCTGATCCAGGAAAACTGAGAGGTAGGCAGTAACTCTTTAAAAAAGCAAACTGAAATTCAACCATCAACTAAACCATTGTTGGTAGACCGCCTCTTGTTTCCTAACATGAAGGATCCTTCCACCAATCTGCAGTTTTTCTGCCCCTTTACTTGTATGTGTGATTTTGCACAAAGTTTGAATAATTCCTCACCCAGAAATTGCCAGACATTAGGCAGCGGTTCCTTTCAAAAAGCTAACCTTAGCTCAACTATCTTAACAAGGGGGCAAGGCCTCGTTGCCTTGTAACATTAATGCTTTTCTTACAAGAGCTGCAATTGCAACAAAACCACAGGATAAGAAAAAGCAAGACAGTAGAGAAGTAACATCAAGTTTAGGTACACACAATCAAACCTTCAAACAATAAGATAACTAAATGGCAGGAATCACCACATACCTATCAGTACTAACACTTAATGTCAATGGACTTAATTCACCCATCAAAAGACACCGTTTGACAAAATGGATTAAAAAAGAAAGAATCCAACAATTTGTTGCTTACAGGAGACTCATCTCACTGACAGAAATAAGCATATGCTTGGATGAAAGGCTGGGAAGAAGATTTACCAAGCTAATGGCCCCGAAAAAACAAAGCAGGAAGTAGCAATACTTATCTCTGACAAAGTAGACTTCAAACCTACATTGATCAAACGAGACAAAGAAGGACATTCCATACTAATAAAAGGGAAATAGACCAAAAGGAAATAATAATCATCAATCTGTACGCACCCATGTCAACGCACCCAATTTCATCAACATACCCTAAAAGACCTAAAGCATATATAAACGCCAACACAGTGGTTGTGGGAGACTTTAACACTCCATTATCATCAATAGATAGGTCATCCAAACAAAAATCAATAAAGAAATCCAGATCTAAATATGCAATAGATCAAGTGGACCTAGTAGATGTCTATAGAACATTTCATCCAACCTCTACACAATATACATTCTTCTCCAGCAGCCCATGGAACCTTCTCCAAAATAGATCATATCCTAGGGCACAAAGCAAGCCTCAGCAAATATAAGAAAATAGAAATAATACCATGTGCATACTATCTGACCACAATGCAGTAAAAGTAGAACTCAACAACAAAAGTAAAGACAAAAACATGCAAACAGCTGGAAACTAAATAACTCATTACTTAATGAAGAATGGATCATCGATGCAATAAAAGAGGAAATTAAAAAGTTCCTAGAAGTCAATGAAAATGAAAACACAACCTACCGGAACCTATGGGACACAGCTAAGGCAGTCTTGAGAGGAAAGTTTATAGCCATGAGTGCATATATTAAAAAGATTGAAAAGATCCCAAATCAATGACCTAATGATACATCTCAAACTCCTAGAAAAACAAGAACAAGCAAATCCCAAAACAAATAGAAGGAGAGAAATAATAAAAATAAGAGCTGAAATCAACGAAATAGAAACCAAAAAAACCATACAAAGAATTAATGAAACAAAAAGTTGGTTCTTTGAAAAAATAAACAAGATCGATAGACCCCTGGCAAACCTGACTAAAATGAGGAGAGAAAAACCCAAATTAGTAGAATCAGGAATGCAAAAGGGGAGATAACAACAAACACCATGGAAGTCCAGGAAATCATCAGAGACTACTTTGAGAACCTATATTCAAATAAATTTGAAAATCTAAAAGAAATGGACAGATTTCTAGATATATATGATCATCCAAAACTGAACCAAGAAAAATTAATCACCTGAATAGACCTATAACACAAAATGAAATTGAAGCAGCAATCAAGAGTCTCCCCAAAAAGAAAAGTCCAGGACCTGATGGATTTCTGCTGAATTCTATCAGACCTTTAAAGAAGAACTGATACCAACCCTCCTTAAACTGTTCCATGAAATAGAAAGGGAAGGAAAACTGCCAAACACATTTTATGAAGCCACTATTACACTTATCCCAAAACCAGGCAAAGACACCTCAAAAAGGAGAACTATAGGCCAATCTCCTTAATGAACATTGATGCAAAAATCCTCAACAAAATAATGGCAAATCGAATTCAGCAACACATCAAAAAGATTATTCACCACGACCAGGTAGGCTTCATCCCAGGGATGCAGGGGTGGTTCAACATACAAAAATCAATAAACGTAATAAACCACATTAACAGAAGCAAAGACAAAAACCACTTGATCATCTCAATAGATGCAGAAAAAGCCTTTGATAAGATCCAACATCATTTCATGATAAAAGCTCTAAGAAAACTAGGAATAGAAGGAAAGTTCCTCAACATTATAAAAGCTATATATGACAAACCTACAGCCAGCATTATACTTAACGGAGAAAAATTAAAACCGTTCCCTCTAAAATCAGGAACCAGACAAGGATGCCCACTATCTCCACTCCTATTCAACATAGTACTGGAATTCCTAGCCAGAGCAATTAGGCAAGAAGAAGGAATAAAAGGAATACAAATAGGTAAAGAAACTGTCAAAATATCCCTATTTGCAGACGACATGATCCTATACCTTAAAGACCCAAAAAACTCTACTCAGAAGCTTCTAGACATCATCAATAGCTATAGCAAGTAGCAGGATATAAAATCAACATAGAAAAATCATTAGCATTTCT